ACACATCCAAGGCCAGTAGAACTTGGCTGCAGGAGCACAGTATCCAGGTCTTAGAGTGGCCAGCTCAATCCCCGGACATGAGCCCCATTGAAAATCTGTGGTGGATTATCAAAAGGTCTGTTTCAAAGCATAAACCAAAGAATTTAGAAGAATTAAAAGCAGTAATTCAAGAAGAATGGGACAAGATTACCCCTCAACAGTGTGAAAGGCTCGTGGGGAACATGCCAGCCAGGATTAGAGCTCTACTACGTGCCAATGGCAGGACTACTAAATATTAATTTGATGATGTGATGGTTTATTTATTTTTTGTTCAGTTTTGAACACATTCTCTGTTATTTGTTGACTTTGATACTGACAATGTTGAGAACTGACATATTGAAACTGTCAAGAATTTAGTTTTGTTAGTTTTTCTTGTAAACAATAAAGAAAAAAATATAATTTGTATTTGTTTGTATCTGTCTAATGCAGCCACACCTTTTGAAACACAAAAAAGATTTTTCCACAAATATTTCATGATAATATTTGAGATTGTGTAAAATTTTAAGGGTGTCCGAAAACTTTTTTCCACCACTGTATATATATAAAGGCCACTGCTAAGAGGTGATTGATTAGAGTGGGTAGTTTGGCACATACTGTGTCATTTTAGTGTCCGTTCATCACACATGATCATTTCTGTGCATGAGACTGTAAGAGGCAGAGAGTCTGTGTTACCTCTGTTGTCACAGTTTTAACATTGAGTGTGATCTCCTTCTCTTTCTGGTGGTCTTGCTCCTCAGGGACTGCATCATGCTGTGTTGTCTGAACAGCGGCACCAGCTTTGTAGCAGGTTTTGCTATCTTCTCTGTGCTGGGCTTCATGGCCTACGAGCAAAACGTTCCCATCGAAGCTGTTGCAGAATCTGGTGAGAAAATATCATATCTTATCATATGATATAATCATATCTTTTATCAAGTAACTTTATGAACTGTAATGTGGCAATATATTACATTCAAAGCAGATACAGTAGACTTAGCCTGTCTGAATCTTTGTGGCCCCCATCCATGGTATTGTGCTAAAATGGGTGAATACAACCAGTTATATAACTCCGCACTCCTCACCTAGGCTCTTAGACCACCGCATTATGATTTATTCAAGTCAGTATGAATGATTTAGTGAATGTGACAGAGCTAGAGATTTGAAATGTTTGTCTAAGAGCATGGTGAGGACAGAGCTTAATGTTTGAAATAATGTGTTTCTAAAGGTCTTACCCCAAATGTAGGCATCAAATAACCCAATGGCCGCCTCTTATGTGGAACCAATCAGACTTATTTCACAACTGTATTAAATCTCATTCATGTCTCCATCTCTGCTGAGACATGAATGTTCACAGTACACTCACAGTATGTTCATATGTCTGTTTTCCTTTGGTTCATATATAGAGACACATTTAAACATGCATGATAAATAGCATGAGCAAGTAAACTACCACTGTGCCTAATGGATTGATAAATGGGCTTATGCTGCTTATCCCAGTCATTTACCAATCATAAAAGGAGTATGATAAATAATAATACAGTAGCCAGGTCACATGAGGCCCTAATAATTAAGGACAGCCCCATGATAGGGTAACTTCTGCATTTTTCATCCTCGACCCTATTTTCCCATGTTTTTGTGTCTAAGTAACTAATGGGAACATCATTTTTTGAAATCAATTAAGTATTTAGCGAGATGCTGGCAGCCGTGAAACAGGCTGCAGTGTAACCACTCTGGGCATGTTCGCACTGTTAATGTACATTCACTAAAAGTGCTTGTTTTTGCCACAGACAGACTCAGATTATTATTTTAAGTGTCTGACAACATTATGGACAGAGAGAGACCTTCTTTTTATTTTACCAGGAACAGCCCAGGAATCACTGCTGCCAAACCAGCCAGACTCCTTTTAAATAACAGTAAAGTGTCAGATTACTGTGTTTTTCCCCCTGTGTGTTTCTGTGCTGCCTTTCCCTCATTTTACCATCTACACACCTGCCCTGTATCAGCCTCATTAGTGCTTCTCTGCTTCAGAGTTCTTCTGCCTAATCACCTGATCCCTCTCACCTGAGCCTCTCTGCCCTTTTCTACACCTGCACTTCATCCCCTCGTCAGAGGGAAATGTGGTGTGGGAATAATAAAAACAAATTACTTCCCAACTGGGAAAATTCACATGAACACCCCCTCGAGTTGGGACAGCAACTCAGCAAATATTTTGCTACACGAGTAGCGATCACATATACAGAAATGTGGTGGATAAAAGTAAATGTTTGGTTGATGGGAATGGACTTTTTATCAATTCACAAATTGCAATTAATTTTTTTTGCTCACATGTTATTTGTAATATGGTATTTAGTTGCATGTGTTAGTTGCTGTCCACGTAGTGACCTAGATTAGTTAGAAAAGTTAGTTATTAGCATTAACCCTGGCAAGTCAGGTAAAGCAATATTTTAGCAGTTGTAGGGGATGTAGTGGGGAACCAGAAAGTCTGGGAAAAAATAACTCTAATATAAAACCTCAAACTGATATCAGCATGCTCTGAGCAATAAAATACAACATAATCTTCTTTAGAGCATCCATATTGTTTCCACATTATGACTTAGAGCTCATGAACACAAACTAAACAGTATAAGTCCTGGTTTTCAGCTCAGACTCTGCTGGATCCTTGGGTTTGTTTTTTGATCTTCAGTTTTGCTTTTTCTGACTCCATGTGACACTATTGTAGGGATCCTTTCCATCATGTTGTTAGATACTTATAATAACAATCTGAGCCTGTCAGCGGCAAAAACAAGCAACACAATGAGCACGTTTACATGCACACTAATAAACCGATCATTATCTGATTTCTGGAGTTACCTGACTATTCAAGTGGTCATGTAAACAGCATAATCCGATAGGCTTTATCAGATAAAAGCCATTATCTGATTACGAGAAATCAGATAAACACATCTAGCTTTTTCCCCAATAGTCAGATTATTCGGTGCATGTATACCCTTTAATCGGGTTTTGCTGTTTTATACTCCCACTCCACTACATTTTAGAGGGAAATAGTGTACTTTCTACTCCACTACATTAACCTCACAGCTTTTGTTTCCTTTCAGATAAAGATTTTACATAAACTAATATATTTTTATATTCTCAGTGTTTAAATTGTCACTTTTATTTTATCTTACTTATATGTTATGCACTTTGTGTGACAAGTTTATATACAACACACTTGTATATTGCACTCTGCGGTACTTTTACTACGAATCTACCCAAAGTATGTAAAATTGGCTTCACATTGATAAACTACACATTACAATGCTCTCACATGTATTTGTTAATGATAAAACAAACAGTACTGTAAGAATATAAGCTGTCAGCATGATGAGTGCTTTATTTTGCAAATATATGACTTGTGTACTTTTCGAGGTTTTTCAAGGATATGAGTACCTACTGTAACAGGAAGTTTGAGTTTTATGTCATGTACTTGGGGAGAAATCCAACTGAAGGACTGAATCATGTAAACCAGGTTTTTCTGATTATCACATTATTGAAGTGCATGTAAATGCGTCACATTGGATTATTACCATTACCTGATTATTCCCAGTTATCTGATTATTGTGCGTATGTAAACATGCTCAATGACGTTAAAAATATTAATTCAGATTCAGATTCAGAATACTTTATTAATCCCCGGGGGGAAATTGTTTTTGTTCCAATGCTCCGTGCAAAGTAGAAATAGAAATACAGCATGAATGGAAACAAGAGATAAAGATGAAGATATAAATAAGATACTAAAATAGACAATGAAATAAAGAAAATAAAATATTAAAGTAGACATTAAAATAAAATAAAATAAAAAAAAATATTAAAGTAGACATTAATATAAAATAAAATAAAATAAAATATTATAGTAGACAACAAAATAAAATAAATAATAAAATAGTAAAGTAGACAATCTGAAATATATACAATATACAATGAAATGGTTGTAGCGTTATAGATGAAATAAGAATGAGTATTGTGTGTTTTGTTTTATAAATAGCCAAATGAGTCCGATCATCAGAGGGAGGAGTTGTACAGTTTAATGGCCACAGGTAAGAATGACTTCCTGTGGCGCTCAGTGGTGCATTTAGGAGCAATCAGTCTCTGGCTGAAGGTGCTCCTCTGTTCGACCAGAGCATTGTGGAGAGGGTGAGAGCCATGCTGAAGTATCGCCCGCACCTTTGACAGCATCCTCCTGTCTGACACTGCTGTCAAAGGGTCCAGCTCCACCCCCACAACGTCACTGGCCTTTCTGATCAGCTTGTTGAGTCTGTTGGCATCGGCTACTCTCAGTCTGCTGCCCTAGCACACCACAGCAAACAGAATAGCACTGGCCACCACAGACTCATAAACATCCTCAGCATAGTCCGGCAGATGTTAAAGGAGCGGAGCCTCCTCAGAAAATAGAGGCGGCTCTGTCCCTTCTTGTAAAGGACTTCAGTGTTCTTAGTCCAGTCCAGTTTATTGTCAATAAAATATATGCCTGAGTGTTTACATTGCAGCCTGTTTCACAGCTGTAGACTGCAGTACTCTCACTTAGTATGGACCAATTAAAAAAATTGTTGTTCCCATTAGTAACCTAGACAAAATAACATGGGAAAATTGGGTCCAGGTTATAAAATACTTTAGTTATCCGGCAGGCAGGCAAGGAAAATCTAACAAACAAATCAGGAAGGAAAAAAGAAGAAACACTGGGAAGGACCACAGAGAAGCAGATCAGAGATATTAAACACAGAATAATGTGTACTAGTCACAATAAAAACAAGGCAGAGCTCAAAGTCCTACCAAGAAAGTATAATGCCTTAGCGTTGAGTATAGTTTACATTGGTCTACTAAACTTACTACTTATGTGGGCTCCTTGGAAAACAGTGTCAGACTGTAGTCACTGTCAAATACATGGCTCAATTACAACAAACAAAATTCAACATTACAAGAAATATGAGAGAAACTTAAAAAGGGTGTAACTGAAATTATTATGCCTTAATTTTGTCTTGAACTGTTTGAAGAACTCTAACCTGCTCTAACAAGAGTCATATTTGTGATTTTTTGCAGGTCCTGGTCTTGCATTTATTGCATACCCCAAGGCTGTTACTATGATGCCTTTGTCTCCACTTTGGGCCTGTCTGTTCTTCATGATGCTCATCTTCCTTGGTCTGGACAGTCAGGTGAGGACTACTGGTGTGAGAATACTGAGATTAGAGAATATTTCACTTTTTAAAGAAACTGGAGGTTGCTAAAGATGTGAAAGTAAAAAATAAAGAGTAAAGTTGCTGTTTGATGAAACAAATAGTAGGCAGGTCAAATGTCATTAACACTGATGACTGACTTTTGTGTGTATATTTATGTATGATGTGAGCTCATGATTACAATTTCAGTGTAGAACCACTAAAGAGGACCTATTATACTCAATTTCTGGTTCATACTTGTATGACATGTTTACATATTTATATGCTTTAATGTTCACAAACCATGTATTTTCCTCATAGTGTCTGTGCTGGAACACTTTTATTCACCATCTGTCTGAAATGCTCAGTTTTAGTGCCTGTATCTTTAAGCCCCCTCCCAAAATCTTTGGTTTGCTCTGATTGGTCAATGTTTGCGGATCTTTTGTATCTGCACTCTCAGCCATCAACTTGGCGTCTCTACACTATCATTACAGCCAGGGAAAGACTGTAATGGAGAATAGTGGCACTTTCTACTATTAAATATCACAAATAAAAGCTTCTAGACGTGTTCAAGCAAGAAAATGATTGGAATTCAGGGAGAAATTATCAACACTGGCAACCAAGATTAAATGTGTCCCTGATGTTAGCAGGTAGCTACACGTAACAGAGTAGGCTATGTAATGTAAACACTTAATGTTTAGTAGTAATGTAGTAGCGTAGTAGCTTGTGTGGAGCAGATGACCATATAAAGAAATCTGTCATGAGCTGACGCCAGCTTGTCTTGAAAGTAAAAAAAACAACAATACAAAAACGCTAGAAGCAGAGTATTGCTCACAGGGATTACTTTTACATACATTAACCTAATTGTTTGAAACTTTGGCCATGTTTAATATGAATATCTGACACTGTAACATTATATGACAGAAACTCTTTACCTTTTAAAGCATTGTCTTGTCGTCTGTTTTATAACTTATCAGGGCTGTTTCCATTAATACAATTATCTTATCTTTTTCATGTTGCAGTTTGTGTGTGTGGAGAGTTTGGTGACAGCCGTGGTGGACATGTACCCAGAGACCTTCAGGAGAGGCTACCGCAGAGAGCTGCTGATTCTGGGCATGTCTATAGTCTCCTTCTTCATAGGACTCATCATGTGTACAGAGGTACGTTCAGTTCATTATGTACTGTGAAATGAATTATATACTAAAAAACAGTGATGCAACGGTGAATTGTATATTACCATTTTTAAAAAGAGAAAAACAGTTTTTACTGGGTAAACTAAGAGACTTGTTAACATATTCAGAAGAATGAGGGAAAGACAGCAAAAGTAAATATAAAGTTCATCAAACAGCACCAAATGACAAAATGAATTACTTTTTTTTTTAAAACTTTACTGCCATATAAAAGGCCATGTATTGCTAAAGCATAGTACTGCTACAGTCCTAGAGTACATGAAGTATTTAAATAATGAAACAAACAAGTTCAAGATGGAGGCAGAGTTAAGTATATGATGACTTTAGCTACCTGACAGACATTTTTACATACAAGACATAAATTGTGAAAATCTAGTATTATGTTAAAGAAGCTGTATATGACATATCAGAAGTTGTCTACACACAGTTCACAACATGTCTGGGCAGACAGCTAGCAACTAATGGTGCTAACAGTGTAAACAGTGCTAACAACTGCAACAGTGCTGACAAAGGTAACTGTAAACCTTGGGAGGAATCGGAGGATGGGCGTTACACTTTTGCCATGACACCCTGGTATAGGATGATATCAGCAGTAACGTCTGTATGAGCACAGTGCAGAGAGATGGCAATTAGCTAGCCAGTGGGAGATGCACACAGTGGTTTACGTGCACTAACACGCATGCTTTGCAGGACTGTCTACCACAATAAACAGAAGCTACAACACACACCAAGGGAGTGCAACTTCATTCTCTGCTCAAGACACCGTTACTTCACTATATACAGGGAATGCAGATTCAAATTATCTTAAGGCTATTATCTGATACGGTGCATCAAATGTTGACATCTATGTTTTAAAATGTACACTGTCCCTTTTAAATTAAAGGGTGTCCGCAGGGTCTTAAAAAGTATTAAAAGTTGATCAATCAAATGTTGGAAAATTAAGGCTGAGCGAAAAGGCTGAGCGAAAAAAAAAAGTCCAAAAAAGTTAATAACTTAAAAATTATGGCGAAAAGGTAGAGTCTTGCAACCCTAACCCCCCTACCCTTAAGATAAAAATATTCACAAATGAAAAAAACACTTCTGGTTGGTGATAAGTAGTGTTTAACTTTTGATTTTTAACACTACAAATTAAAACCCTTGGCGCTCACTGCAGCGCAAGCAGACAGATGCGCGACTCAGAGCAGCATGTGTCACTGACACCAGACTCAGAGCGCAGTGGACCGGTGGAAAATGTCACCATCAGCATATTATTTTACATCAATACAATCTATTTGTTGAAAGAATTTAGTCATCTGTTCAAGCAGGATAATAGGTCTCCACTGATTGCACGTCGGGCTTTCTATTTCCTTGTCAGAGATGTTTTCTTTTTTAATTACATGATAGCTATTCTCCCTTAACTCACCAGTAAAGAATACCTTTGTCCATTTCAAATAACCCGTGGCAATAATAATATCCCTGTTCTTTGATTTACTGTGAAACTTTTTTAGGCAATTCATGCAACAATCAGACCAGATGACTTCTTTACTCGGTCTAATGGGGCCGGCCTTTATTTGTCAACAACCAAAAACAATCAGTCAATTAAGAACACAAACTGGAACTGGAACATGAAATCTTATATGCCTAACAGACATTGCTTCGCGTTCTTTGAGCTTACATATGGCTAAAGGGAAAAAAAAACAACCGTAAACGGACGGCATGATTAGTGTTGCGTTCAAGGTCCCCCAAAAAAACGGGAGAAAAAAAAGGCAGAATATTCGAAATTTTTTTTCCCCCACAATTGAATCCCGTGTCATCGAATAAAGCTTCAAATTTTTTGGGTCAGCCCTAAATCCCATATGTAAGGGGTTAGCCATAAGGCCGTTGTAGCAAGTTATCCTTGAATAGCTGATGTTGAGCTGTAGAGCTGTGTTACTTGTTATGACCTAAGGTGTATTTTAATGAACCTGCCTTTGGTTTAATTTATTCTTTCAAGCTTTATTCCTTCTCATCTTATCTGAGTTCTGTTGTATGTTTGTGCTCCATAGATTTAATTGCAAACTACAACTGTTTAGTAAGTTAAAGATGCGTTGCTGCTAACGACAGCTTGAAGTGGCGATGAGGTCTTAAGGTTTTTTTGGAAAGTCTTAAAAAAGTCTTAAAAAGGTATTGAAATTAACCTCAGGATTCCTGCATATACCCTGATTTAACATAAAAAACATAAATATCATTACATATCAAATAGTTGTTTGCTGCTATATTAATGCTCTGAATGTCAAATACAGCTCCGTAGAATGTACTATCAAACCTATAGTCAACCCTTTTTCCTATTTTTATTTCTGTGTAGACATGCTATCCTCCTCATCCTCATCCTCATCATCATTATTATCATCATCATCGTCATCATCGTCATCAACATCATCATCACCACCACCACCATCAAAAATTTACAAGTCTTAGATGAAACCCAACAGCTACATTCTAGATGAATGGTCATAGATCCACTTGATAGAAAAAATGCAGACCAGTTTGATTGATATAATTGAATCATGTGATCCAGAATGTATCATATGATCCACTGTCCTCTGTCATGCAGCGTTTACAAAATGACCCAGAGATCTATTTGATTGGACACTGAGGGTCTGTGGTCAAGTTACCCATGTCAAGCTGCATTCCTGTCACCATCTCTGCTGTGCTTTTAAGACCTTTCATCTTTATGTCATAATAATGGAAGAAGAGAATCTGGTTCCTCACACTGTCAAGAAGGTCCTTCATCCACTAAAAGCTTTTCATGTGTCCACACACACTGCTCTCCATCCATCCACACTGTAAACCTGCTTGCTGTTCTCTAGTGGCCCATAATGGCCATGAAACAGGGGAAAAATATTTGATGAAATATTAAAGTACAGCACTTTTTCTTGGTTAGATTGCTGCATTGTCCAATGACATGACCTTTGGTTTACTGTCACCACTAAAATTGCCAATTTCTCCCTCTGCTTTTACTCGTCTTTCAGCACTGCCTGCACTCTAGAGACTTTATTCCTTTCTGCCTCCAAAGAGCCGTCATGAATAAAATGTCACCAGAGGCCTAGACTGGGATTAAATCACAGTTCAAAAGGTCCTCTGAGAGTGTAGTTCAATACCTGGCTGAAATATAAAGACAGTCACTGAGACATTTTGGTTATGCTCTGAACTGTTTAGAGCTGTGATGTAACCCTACTCTCACATTCATGTGAGATTTTATTTATGATGACCCTTTTAGTGGAAGCCAAGAGAACAGATGAGTTGTCTTGAGTGTAGGTAGAGTAGGTGGAGTGGATGGTAAGATGTGAGCACCACCACTGATACTGTAACACGGTTAACTTTTAAAGGAACAGTTTGACATTTTGGGAAATACACTTTTTTGCTTTCTTGTAAGCAGCAGGCATTCAGAAAACACAAACAGTAACTGATAGTCATGCATAGTGTACCTTTAACATCCAGGAGTGGGTCATAGTGACAGGCATCAACATCACATATAATACAGTGGCCTATAATGAACAAAAAAAAACAAAATGCTGTTGCCTGAAATTGCTCTGCCACAGTACATCATTTTATAATGTTTATCAGAGCCATAATGGACCACTAAAGATCAGAGTGTGTTGTTGGGGTTTAAACAACCCTCTAAAGAGATAACTTTGATCACTTTATATTTTATTCACACCACATTTGGTAATAGCAACTTAGTAGCAGGAACCTTTTGAGTCAATGAATCATGGCCATTTTGTGACTAATCCTTATTTTCAGTAAGGTATAAGAAACATCAGTGCTGAGTTGTTATTTACTCTGTTTACAGTGTACATTGGGTTGTTTGTCACTATGGCATTGATCCCTGACAACCAAATCAATCACAGCTGATTAATTTAATATTTGATGTGATCTAAGCAGGCCTGATGCTCATGCAGTGTCGGTGACAGAAAACTGACACCTGTCTCATCCTATCAGGGAGGGATGTACGTCTTCCAGCTGTTTGACTCCTACGCTGCCAGCGGGATGTGTTTACTGTTTGTGGCCATATTTGAGTCCATATGTATCGGCTGGGTGTATGGTAAGATAACGGTCTGAACTTAAAGAGATCTCAGAGAAATGTTTGCTTTTTTCCCCTCAGCCTTGTCACCTCAGATATCAGTAGTCTCTCTTTTGTGAACTGAACAACTGTCATACATTTCAGCCCAGAAAAACAGGCTGTTGTGTCACACTTTTATCCTCTTTGCTGCATTAATATTTCTTCTCTGCCCTCTGCTGGAGAATGGGCTCAAACACACGCATGACTCACTTGGTGTTATGCAAGACACACACATCTTATGACTGAGATATTGAAAAGGATATAATGGTAAAATAGGATCGTGAAAGGCTGCCATTTTGTGTTTTTATACAGCAAACATAGTGCTTTTTCTATTTAATTTACTCTCCTGTAATTGACATTCATGCTTTAAAGAAACTGTGGCTCTCATTTCTCTCTTTAAATATCATTACATTTACATTGATTAATGACTGCATTTATTTATTAAGAATATTTTACATGCAGCAATACGAAATATCTGTCTCCCCTCAAAGAAAGTTTCAGACAACTTTATATCCCCTTCCATTCAGCAGCTCTGTTTATATTCTGTCAAAAGACATCAATCACGTCATTATTTTGATGTTACTTGCCGAAATTCTGACTGACACTTATTTGCATTTCAGGTAGTGACAGATTCTACCTAAATATTGAGGACATGATTGGCTACAAACCTGTCTTCTTCATCAAGTGGTGCTGGATGATCCTGACCCCGGGCATCTGTGCTGTGAGTTTGACTGCAGACAAAATCAAGAACGGCAGCATGAACATATCATGTAGACAAGCTCAGTAGTGATGGACAGACACATTCAGATAATAGTCATTTTTGTCTGTCATATTGATTCTAGGTTTCGGATAAAGAGCAGTGCTTAGTTATGGAATCATTTTTGGTTCATCTTGCAAGATAATTTTTCACTTTGTTTTAATAATTAGGGTGTTTATGTGGACATGAATAACCCTTTTATGATCTGGTTTTTGGAGTATCCTGTTTATGTGTTTGAGCGTCTAAACACCATATTTAGTTTATGAGAAAACCGATTATACTGGCTGGAGTACTCTGAAAGAAACCTGGATGTATACGGGTAATATGAATAACCCAGTTTCTCTGTGCCCAAATATATTCATAACCAGGATAAGCCTCATAAATGTGTTATCCATGTCCATGTAACCGCACTGATTGAGCTGCACTGTCCTGTAGCTGTTGCCTTATATCCAGTTACACATGTTTGGGGATTTATGTTTTAAATGTACTGTACCTTAATGCAAACACGGGCTGTTTTCACATGAAGACTCTATCGTGTGTAGCCTTATGTTTATCAAGCCAGAAATTGAAATGTGACCTTTATTAATCAAAGAAGGCATTTCATTCTCACAATGTAAATAACAGAATTTACAATTATGATGTAATTTCTCCTGCAGGGAATTTTCCTGTTCTTCCTGATTAAATACAAACCGCTGAAGTACAACAACATTTACACCTATCCTGACTGGGGCTATGGTATCGGCTGGTTCATGGCCATGTCCTCGATGGTCTGCATCCCTTTTGGGATTATTTGGATGATCTGGAAGACTCCTGGCACCTTCACTGAGGTACAAATACACACATGGACACATTGTACAAGGTTTTCTTTTTGTAAAGAATAGTAATGCTCATGTCTTACTGAGTGTAGCTTTATCTATATTGTCACTGACAATTAAACTGTAATACATTTATGTATCAGTATTTACTCTAAAGGGACAGTTCACCTCAAAATCAAAAGTACATATGTTTGGAGTGTTGGAGATATCAGCCATAGAGACGTCTGCCTTCTCTGGAATATAATGTAACCAGACGGTATTCACCTTGTGGTGCTCAAAGTGCCAAAAAATATATTTGAAAAACTCAAAAGCAACGTCTCTTTCCAGAAATCATGACCCGGTCACTTAAGATAATCCACAGACCTTGTTGTGAGAGGTTTCACGTAGGAACTATTTTCTTTCTACTGAACTACACCCTTCTACTATATCACCATGCAGAATGAGTCGTGCATCTACTGCTAGCTCACCTAGCACCACTGAGCTAGCTAACGTTACAGTTCAGCTGAGGAGGACGTCATTATATTGTTCACATCCTGCTCTCACTAGTCTCGTCTATGAGTGGATGCACGCTTCCTTCTGTATGGTGATTCACTTAACGGATGTAGTTTGCTTTGAGCACCACAAGCCGAGTGCTATCTAGTTCTGTTATGTTCAACAGAAGGCAGACTGATAAATTGCAGTTCATGGTAAGAGGAAAAATATGTATTTCTTATTTTTGGCTAAGCTGTCCCTTTGAATTAATGAAGCAATGTTCTGGATGATCCTCCACCTAAACACTGTAACTTTCAGTCTTGAAAAGAAATGTTTGTTTCCCACATAAAAACCAGAAGGCAAATGTTGTATCTTAGTTTGCATTTACTATTTATGTCAGCCTTCGCACTCGTTCATTCTCTCATATGGCCTGTTTTTAACCTTTTACAGTAGTCATGTTTGCACAGGATGAGCAGCAGCAGTAACAGTTTAATGACAGAGTGAACCTTCCTTTGTGTTTTCAACTAATCAAGCAGACATTTTTCCCCAAATCTAACTGAGTGGCAAAATTGACCCATGACTGACATCATCAGTGGCTGTGCCTGCCAAGCAAAACATCACAAAGTTCATGCAAAGTCATCGTCTCCTGTAACAGATCGTTCCTGTCCAAAACTACAATGAACAGTGTGACAACATGTAATGAAATTAATAGAACTAACGTTGTTAAGACTTTGATTTACAGTCGTGAAGAACATAAAAGCAGAGCAGCATTAGTGTCTGTTATTCAACCTGTATCACTAGCAATGAAGGAAATGACTGAAAGTAATCCTGTTGCTGTACCTCCCCCATCTGACTCTCTCAGAGGGATTGTGACACAGTCGGATGATCTCCCATTGTTGCCCGAGGGAAGATCAAATAAACAACTTGCAGGTTTCTGACATGAGATGATCAGTTGTGGCCTCTGGCTTTCTGGCAGACCTGAGGCGTGATGAACAGCAGAGGAATGATATCAGTGATGTGTTGGTCATGTCTAATATGAAATCCACATAGCATACAAATACTACACTGAGGTAGAAATCTGAAAAAGAAACAAACAAGAAACAGCTTTATAGCTTTTTATATGTAGTATATTGATATCACAGTGCCTGTTCAGTTAGTTAGTAAGTTAAGTGGCTAATTAGTATGAGATCCGTCAAATGTCTGAAACACATACTTTATTAATTGATATGATACATACTGTTCATACAGTGAGTGTCAGTGCTCTTCTTCTTCTCACTTGGTTGTCCCTGAAGCACCTCTAAACCTCAAAACAAAGACTGAAACTAAAAGAAAGAATAGAGTCAGTCTAATGTCTGCCATTTTGATTTTATACATGTATTTATCGATGCTTCTTTAGTTTATTCTAACAGTATTACTTTATGCATAATCTGTATCTGTGTAATGCTGCTTTTAGAAATAGCACTGTGGTGGGAGAATGAGAGGTAACCCCTTGTGTCTCTCTTTCGATGCTCTCTGCAGAGGATGAAGAAGTTGACAACTCCCAGTCCAGACCTGAAAATGAGAGGGAAGCTCTCCGCCCTCAGTCCTTACGCTGCCAACGACGCAAAACTCAAGGTTGATGGGAAAATATCCACCATCTCAGAGAAGGAGACGCATTTCTAACCGACTGCCTGACCGCCAGACCGAGCTGCCTGCTGTCTTCACAATAAGTGCAACGAATGAAAACCACAGCAAACAACAACAACAACATCATCCACCACCACACAAAACAGGAAATGAAACAAATGACTCGGGAGTGTTATTTTTGTTTTGTATAAAAAAAAGGAGAAAAAAAAGGAAATGCTATCACATGATTCGTAGTCTGCTTCTGTTTTGCACAAACTTTGATAACACATTTTCTTTTTTCAGTTAACACCGTGACTAAAGATGCTGTTTTTTTCTTTTCTAACAGTTAATTTTTTAAAGAAATCTGTCTGATGACATATATGGTTAAAACTTGTCCTGGTACCTTGTCAGTACTGGTCACACTAGTGTTTGGGCCTGTAGAACAATACCAGTGTGCTGTGTTGTAAAAGACTTACACTGTACATTTATTGGCAAAGTGCTGTGCCTCTTTATTAGGTACTAGGTACCCAAATGTGACTATCTAAGATGTAGCAGCGTGGGGACCATTCTACATAGTTTTATGTCTTAAGAGGATACTGCAGTATTTGTTAGTGCTGATGCTATAGGAGGGCAAACCCTGAACACCCCTGCAAGTAAAACTTTGAGTTGTGTATATATATCTAGATGTACCATCAAATTCTTGGATGTTATCTTAACCAGCTGTGACTGTGAGGTAGTGATTTGTACTTACTTGAATTCAACGTTGTTGCTAAGCAACATAAGAAAAAACTCTGCTCACTAGATGTAATGAATGATGTTATTAGGCTTTTGATCATCACGTTAGTATATATTATAGGGCTTTGCTGATTTCCACGGCACTGCTCTCATTCCTAGGTCATCAAATACTGACACTTTGTCACGCCCCTCAGCATCTCATAGCCATGCACAGGGCACCGTCTCTGTGTGATGCACAGCTGAAACCATAGACTGTATGTAAAGATGGACAGTGCATCTCCACTTCGCTCCACTGTACAAAAATGAAGCCAAAACATCCTGGATATGGCCGCTGCCCTCAAGCACTGGTGACATAATTTGAGGCCAGACTCTCCGCAGTGGTCAAATCTGCTGGTATTGAGTTCCCACCCATTTGCGAGCAGCAGCATTGATAGCAAGCATACCGATTGGCACACACAGCTATCAATCATGACCTCAATCCCCCCCCTTTTTTTAAAAATCAAATTACTAGTTATAACCAAACGTATCAGAAAAACAAACACTTGAACATACATCAGTGTCATAAGAATTACCTAAAATAACAGAAAGCATCCTTGGGAAAAATGTATTTGACGTGCACTTTGAGTTTTTGGTTTGGCCTATGTCCAATCTGCTAACATGGAAGGGGTGGGATTTATGACCTATACTGCAACCAGCCACCGGGGGCAATCAGGATGTTTTGGCTTCGCTGTTGGGGAGCTGTCATGTCATCCTTTTTATACAGTCTATAGCTGAAACATGAGGCTAATGTGAAACTGTTGTGGTGAGGTTTGAAAAAACAGATCATACTTTGGGCTTAAATAAGTTTTTCTTGACAGTAACGTAACGTGACATAAGTACGTCATGTAAGTGACATCCGTGTGCGACAGTGGTACATAAATAATGTCACATTATGTCACATGGGACACGTTGTCTCTTTTTGTTTGACTCATCCACCTCCTACCCAACGTGGACTTTCTCGCGTTTTATATGACATCATTTACTCTCAGCGACAAACACTGCCATGAATAAGTTTAAACTGGAGTTAGCTGAAAGCCCAATACATGTCGTAATGAAGCTGAAGGGTGCCTTAAGCGTCAGTATTGCATGACGAGGGGTGCGACTATAGATTGTCTATCAAGATAAACAATGGATCTCCATTTCCTCCCGGTGTACAAAAATGAAGCCAAATATCCCTGCATGTGCTGGTGACATCATTTGGAGCCAGAGTGGAAATGGAGCTGTCATCCTGTAGTGCAGCCAGCCACCAGGGGCTGATTGAGATGTTTTGGCTTCACTTTTGGGGAGCTGTCATGTCGTCCATCTTTATGTACAGTCTATGGGTGTGATGAAACCTGTACTTGATGACCCAGGGATGAGAACAGTCTGAAGGTTTACAGTAATATTGAAGGGCAAATAAACAGTCAAACCTGTAAAACCATTCTCCTCAGTTTTAGAAATCTTCAATTTTACACGTCTTGTTTTCGACATGGCTTCAAATAGTGAGTGACTTGCAGGCTGAGTCTAGAAACACACCTCTCCCTCCTCTAGCTGCCCTCCTATAAGTCGTGGGTATCCGTCATTTCACAGCAATTATGCTGAGCCTAACTCAGAGTGACAGACAGATGTGCTTCCACCCCTGCATTTTTATTTCCTGTTCCGCCTGTAGAAGAGAAGATGAACGCCCATCAGATGAGCATTTCAAAACCCATCTGTCTTCTTATCCCCCCCTTCTTTCTAGTCTTTCCCTCTTGTCCCCCTCTTTCCTTTCTCCCGCTGTCCTTCCCTCTCATTCTCAACCTCGGCTTGTCCGCCTCTTTCAATGTTTTTCCGCTTCTGTCTTTGGCGTCTCTTCATCACGTGGAGGGCTTGTGCAATGACACGGGCCTTGTATGAAACTGTGATGCTGCTGGATGCTTTGTATTTCGTCACAGACAGCGACAGTCTTGCTGTTGATTAGCGTTTCTGTGACCTGTCTTAGACCTTACTGAGAAATAGACATCTTTTAATTTTGCTGTCTGAGCCGCTGCAGGGGTAAAAGCACCGTCTCCTCCTGTCATCTCTTTAATTGTGGTAAGACTCAGTGAGCTGGTCTCATTGTTCAGATCGATCTCAGTCCCTCGCAGCCTCGTCCTATCACTCCGAGCTGTCCTACCTCCCTTCCTTGCTTTGTCCAACTTTCCCACCTCTTGTCCTTTCTTCCCTCTGTCCTTTGTTTCCTGATGAAAATGCAATCAGAGGAGAGTGTCTGAGGGGATGAAACTCAAATTTCTCTCTACAGTTTTTCAGGAGGAGGCAAAGAAAGCAGGGGAAGAAATTAGGAAACGATGAGCCGAGGAAGTGTGCGATCGAGTAGGAAGTGAGGGAAACCGAGGAAGTGTTCAGCGACTGAAGCCCCTCCTGTCTAAGCTGTGACATCCTCTTAAACACGTGATTGGTCCCACTGGTGTGGTTGCATTATGACATTATCACCTCCTCACTGATGTTTGTGCAAGTTAATAGTCGTGTGCATCGGAAAAGTATAGCCTGCTGTTTAACACTGATCGTGTCGATGTATATTTTTACATCTCTTTCTAAAAAAAATCTGTGGTCTATTTCTTGACATGAACGATGTTTTAAAAGAATTGCTGTATTAAAAAGAATACGTCCTTTGTTTTGACTTTTGATATGTCGTTCAAAAGATCTTGTTATAGAAATATAATGGAAGACGTTTTACTGTTCTGTACTGTTCTACACACATTTTGGTATTCACAGGACACATGAACTGTCTGCTTACTCATTTTTAAGAATAAATATTATGAAGGAAAACAGAGTACAGGCTCTGGTCTTTTTTATCAAACTTAATGTCACAGTTATCCTCTAAAGGAAAAAACTACTCTAAGAAGGAAATGTCAGTATCTTAAGTTCTTTGTAAAAGTTTAAATGTCTCTTTTTGTGATGAGACGTTAGAGATAAAATGATATGATCAGATAAGATGGCATTTTACCATGTCCAATACAGCGACTGGTTTGATAGCCACAAACAATAACAGGACATGAGCAGACAAATAAAGGAAAAAAACAACTTTATGTGCATATTACAAAACAAAACATCAGTTTACAGTTTGTTATAAATGGTAATATGAGAAAAAGAAATTGATGATGAGCAAAAAAGAAATAAAAAATAGGTCTTCAGGCCATAGTGTAGATGAAAACGGCAAAGGAAATGTCCAAACATACTAAAACCCCCACATTCCTTCAGTCCACCTACACAGCTGTTTTCACTTAAGCTGCTGGGTCAACTCAATCGCCAGAATAAATGGGTTATCATGGATATGTTAAATTTGAATATTTCAGATGTAGCTGATATGTTGAAACTTCACATTTCTTTACCTTCTGGATAGGGTGTGGTTGGGTTTAAGATTGGCAGTGATTATATATTGTGGGAGAGACACATTCCCCCCATTGTTTAAAGGTGCCCAAAAATGTCCCGCCCAATATACTAATTTAAAATTGAAAGAATTAAAATTTTGCTCTGCTACAAAAGGCAACCACACACAGCCATTATGATAATCATAAATAACCTTAAAATTGCCACCATTATTACAACTGGTTCTTTAAGGCCCCTCATTATCAAGCCCCGTCCTACCTGTCTGAACTCCTTCATATCTACACACCCTCCTGTACTCTTAGTCACTCCTCTGCACTCCTGCTCACATCACCACCTGCCCACTTGGCTACCACGGGTTCTAGAGCCTTCAGCCTCTTGTCATTTGCAATATTGACTCTGTTTCCACTTTCAAATCCCGTCTGAAACACACCTTTTCAAGCTGGCATATTTGGTCTGATTTAGTGGTGACACACATATATGGTGACCTGCACTGTTGATGACTTTATGATGATGATGATGATTATATTCCCTAATATTTATAATTACGATTTTTGTCCAGTCATTTTATTAACTTTTATTGTATAATACGTAATTGTTTGCAGGTGGTCTGTGTGAGTGTTGTGGCTCGACTCCTGTGGTCACAACAATCAATATCAAACACTACTGTTTCTCCATTTAATTCCCTTCCTTTATATTAGGGTATATCACTGTCTACTGTTATAGTTTTGTCAAGTGCAAGTAAAAACAGTCATCAAAAAAAAGTCATTGTATGCACTTTTCCTGTGTGGCCCTTAATCATATGCTGGCTTCCTGAATTGGCACTCAGTCATCAAACCTTTGAGAACCCTTCATCTAAAATTTTTATTTCAGAACCCCCTGGAGGGCTGGGTCGCAGAAGGTGTTGACTGAAATGGTCCCCCCAAAGTTAAATAGAGTCCTCACAACACTTGCGGAGATCCCAGGGGAGAGTGGGTAGCAGCACAACTCCACCTAATGCAGGCTGACAGCGCCCCAGATTCAAACGTCCAAAAAAACACATAATTGAAACCACATTATATCTCCATACTGCTCGTCCTTAGTGATCCAAGCTTCCTGAAGCCTCGACATAAAAAGTTGTTTGGCTTCTCTGTACACGCACTCACGTGTGTGTGCACATTTAGAGCATTTAGAGCTACAGGCTACAATGAGGCTAAAAACAGAGTTTAAATGACGTTTTTCCAAACAACTTTTTATGTCGGGGCTTCAGGACACTTTGATCACTACGGACAAGCAGCATGGAGATATTTTGTGGTTTCAATTATGTGTTTTTTTGGACATTTGAATCTGGGGCGCCGTTAGCCTTCATTAGGTGGAGTTGTGCTGCTACCCCCTCTCCCCTTGGATCTCTGGAAGTGATGTGAGGACTGTTAAACTTCACCTGAGCCTCCCTCGGCATATGGGTGCGTAGATAATGGCTGAATTTTCATTTTTGGGTGCACTATCCCTTAAACATAACAGGATTGTTCGTCACAAACACAGCTTAGAATATCCTGATGTCTCGTTAGAATTACCCAGTGTTGCTGTTCGTTGGTGCCAAACAGTGGTCTGCTGCTTGGCTGCCATCTCGCCTTGATCTCATGCTATCAACCATCGCCTCCTTCCACTGATGAGAAACTCAGCTTGTAAACAAGTAATCTTAACTACGTCACTTTGAAATGTTCACATGACATAAATGAACTAATGTAACATCCATTTATTGCGTAAGTGCAGTTCCAGCATTTTATTTTGGCGACTGGGCTGGCCTGGTTAGACCTCTCAGAAGACTCAAAAAACAGCACGCACATCCGAAATGATAAATACTGGGTGCTGGACAGAAAAACACATAAAAAAATAGGAAAGCAGGTCAGCACAGCAGAAACTACTCCTAGATGAGGAGACCCATGGTGGTTGCCCAACAGATCATGTGATAACACATGTAGCTATACAGAAACACACTGCAAAACTAGAATAAAATTACACCACAGGAATACATTTACAGAAAATCTATATTTTTATTTATGAGAGGCCAGCAGTGTCTGGAATATCACCTTGAATATCAAATGACTGAAACATCAGGTAAAAAAACATGTAAATTCAAGGTGAAACAGTAGAAGAAGATATTATATTTGTTAGACCTTTCCTCAGGACTGTGTGGGCACATACAAACTGGGCGTCGCTGACATCCTCCTCCCTCTCATGTTAGTTTAGTTACACCTGTCAGCGCAGGACAATTTTCACTGTGATTAGCACAAAGAGTTTTGTGACATTACATGATTCTCTGCGTGTAGCTCCACCCCTACCTCCACCTGACGAGAGGTCTAATCAGCCACAGTCACAGACCAAAGCACAGGTGTGAATAATAAAATTAAGGAGGAACTGAATTGAATTTAGCTGCTTTGCTTTCATGGTGCTGGTGTTGTGTTTTCTGACTCACTGTCACACCGTCATGGTTTACTGGGACACTCGTTAATATCGTTAGTAACACCTGCGTTTCACTCTGCGACGAGTCAAAAATGTGTGCTGTGAGAAAGGCCTGTTGAAAGCAGTTAAATGTACAGATGTATTTATGCAGCGAATGTGCTGATAGGAACATGTCGTTTCTGCCGCCTCAAATAATCCAGTGGATTTGCAGCGCTCTGTATAAGTGCTGACAGAATTGTGATATTTTTGACAGCGTCTCGGTTCGGTGCAGCTGGAGACCTTTGTCATTTCATAACCTCCTTTCTTTCTTTCTCCTGCGTTCCTGTATCTATACTGTCACCATATGTTTATTGCTCTGTATTGCTTTTATGGTTTTATGATCCACTAGAGCGACCTCTGAAATCCTGATCACAGCCTACAGGAGACTCGTCCCAGCAGCCCTCAGACCATTTCTATTAATAAAAGAAACAAACAAGGAAATTGTCCTCAACAGTGTCTTATTTTTCTTTCTTTGATCTCATTGGATGATATCTTTGAGGGACCTCCACATGACTGAAGTCCACGTTTGATGAAATCCCTCACCAGTGTGTTTGCTGGCCTCTGGGTGTGTGTTTCAGTGTGTGTTGAGCATGCATTGTGTTTCAGTGTGTGCGTGCAGTCAGGCTCATACATCCAACTGTCACACTTCAGAAATCAGCTTTACTTTCTTTGACTTGGAGGTGACATCTTGACTTGATCCGGTAGATGATGTGGGGTAAATCTTCTTTTGTTGTTGTGTCACGTTGCCGCCACACACTAAAAACTTCTGAGAACACTTTATGAGCTGGGAAAAAGTTTCTGGACTCTTCAGCCAAGCAAAAACTCATTCAGAAAGTAATGTGAAGGTTAAATGGCTGTCAGCGGGGGAAAATCTGTCTCTCTCAAATGCTGTAAAACGACTTTTTCATTTTCTTCTTCTTTTTTTTTTCCTTTCTGGAGATAAGCTTTTATCTAAAACCTTGATCTGAAACAGTGCTGTTGGCAGACAGGCACACACTGTATACATTATGAATAAAAGTTCTCCAGGCAGGGTTGTCTTATTCCACATCTTCCGATGATTGTTAGGAAAGAAACTGGCAGTGGATCCATAGTCAGTGTTAAATCAAAGTTTTCCTGGAAGCTACAGACAGATGTGTACAGCTGTACAGTAGATCAGATTAGAGACACATCTAACCATTTGATTTTAATCTTTAAAATGACATTGATCAATTTCTGGCAACTAGGGGATTTGTTTCAGTATATCCATACATCATCTGTAACTGCTTATCCTATCCAGGGTAACAGGGAGCCTATCCCAGCTGACATTGGGTGACAGGTGGGGTACACCTAAGACTATTACAGGGAGACAGACAACCATTCACTCTCACATTCACACCTATGGACAATTTAGAGTCACCAATTACCTGCATGTCTTTGGACTGTGCGAGGAAGCTGGAGTACCTGGAGAAAACCCACACTGACACGGGGAGAACATGCAAACTGTGCACAGACGCATTTTATGTATCTTTTTTTTTTATCATATGTTGTATTGTTTGTATTATGTTTTAATACATCTTATGTTCAAGTCAGTTGCTAATAGAGCTGTGGCTAATGTATTAACAGCTAGCTAATTACACAGCAGACATAGTAGGACATCAGCATTCATTTGGAGTCTTTATAATGGACATCTGAAGAATGTAATATATAATATCTAATATTTTCTCCACATTTTGCTCTGTTTGGGTGCTCTAACACTAACTATTGATAAGAATAGTTTTATACTAGTCCATACCCATTGGTAGCTTTGTCACCTTCTACCTATGCCAATCCTCAATGCCTATGTGCAGTTTCACATAGATTGACCACGTCAGGTAGTAGAAAAATGTGGGACAGACAGAATGACACAGTGACAGTTTCCGTGATTATGTACAGCATACCATACCATGACTTAGTCATACCAAAAATTTGAAAAAAAAACAAACCAAA